CAACAGACATTTAAAATGCAGAAAGACCGTGGAACAACATACAGAAGAATGTTATTACAGCTATTAGTTTTTCGTTGTATTTATTAAAACATTCCTAAACTGTTTTTCACATTGGCAGAGATGGGTGCAGTGCTCAAGTGTAATAAGGATAATCATCATGCTATATACTTAACCTCCTCTTCCTTATTTCAAAAGAAGGCAATTCAGATAGTAGAATGGATGAAACCAAACAATTAAAATGTCTGGATAAGCAAAGGGCTTAGAGGTAATGCCAAAAGAACTGCAACATTGTCTTTAGTCACATCTCCGTGGGGCAGGTATTCCAAAGGTGGGGCATCACAACTGGACCATCTTCTTTATTTACACATAAGGCAAGGCTTATAAGGAGCAAAAGGACCTCACCTAGATTGAGAGTGGAGAAGGCTGTTGTCACCTGTGAAGCACCCTGGCTTCTACCTTGTATTGGGTACAATTTGAAAGGGATTGGGCTTTCCACAATGGAGAAAAACCTTTCATGACAAACAGCGTTGTTCTTCAGTTACTTTATATTTGAAAGCAAACACCATACCATCCTGGTCCCCATAGTCTTGGCATTTGCTCAGGGCTTATTAAGGATCTCTGTGCAAATGAGTTTGCCTGTATCATCGTCTGCTGTGCTTGCAGACATGGGTCACTTGTTGATTTTGTTTCACCAGTATTCAGGAAGGCATGTCCTCTACTCTGATTGTACAGCAGGTTGCAATGCTTCCTTTATCATAGGTGTCCTTGGCAACCTTTATTCAAGCTTGTGTGGCACTGGGGATGCTATACATGCTGGTGCACACACAATCCTGTTTGTGATGAAAGGGCAAACATCATAAGAAGCATCTGCTGCTAACTCTGCATCTTGGGACAATTGAAAGTCGGAGGTGGAGATACTTGCTCATAATCCTGATCCTGTTTGTGAGCATTAGCAGGGCGGGGTGGGGGAATTTGCCTATTTGTCACTGACAACAGTCAGGTAACCTGGAGTTTCTGTGATTACCTTAATGACTGTCAAAGATCTTCCATTGTTGAATCTTCAGTTGGGGAGCTGGTTGCAAAGACCATATTCTTGCCTTTTTAATTTTTATTTTACTGCAGTATTAGCTTTAGATTTTCTGGCTGCTCATTTTGATCTATACAGCTCTAAATCTTTGCAATCCTATCCTGTGGCACTCCATTTCTCTCCACAAACTATATTTTAGACATGCTTCTGCCATGTATTTAAGCTGAGAAAACCCTCAGTGGAGAACTTTCCAACTTTGGAGCTCTCTTCCTGAGGTAGCATATCAGAGATCAGGTTTGAGCATCTTTTATTAGTGCTGCTTCAGCTTCTTTCTGGGATCTTAATGTTATTTTTTGCCCTATGATTCTAAAGCAGATTTTTTTTTAATAAAATGAAGACATCACACTTCTTTAATATGGAAAGCCTGCAGCTAAATTGCTGGTTGCATAAAGTTCAAATGTAACCTTCCTTTGTTCCTATTCTCCTACTCTTTCTATTAATTGCCTACTTCTCACTCTCCTTTGCCCACTAACTTTCCTACCAGTTGGAATTGTTGCCTCAGCCTGCCATATACAGTTTTTCCTGTCTATGTGTGAGAGTTTAATCCCAGCCAAACTGGCAACTTGTTCTTCCCTCACAAAAGCTGAACTGGCAACATTCTGACATGGTTCCTTGTACAGTTCCATCTCCATGACATACCAATGTAGCCCATCAGTGTCCAGGGCTTTATCACCACAAGTTCAATACAGAGTAGATTATTGCCCTTCTTAATGGCAAGACCTTCTCACTTGTTCAGTATATGAGTTAAATACATGACAGGTTTCAACCCATTTGCTACTTGCATTCATTAAATATCTGAAATTTCCCCCTGCACATTCTGCAGTATGCACTGAAGTTTCTTATCAAACAGTCCAAAATCATGAATTTGTAGGAGGCAGAGCCTGCAGTTCTGATGCCTACATACCCTTCCCATGCATGTCCTTTTAATGTAGTATTTGAGCAAGTGAAAGCTGCTCCAGCATGTTTGGCAGCTACTTTAAACTGAAGGTCAAAAGCTGCTTTTGTGGGTTGATATCCTCCTGCTTCCTGGACAAAATAGAATTCTCCAAAGGAAATTTGAGACAGATGAAAAAAGTGGTTGGAGAAATCTCTAAATGCTAATTAGATTTCAGGTCTTGAACTTTAAAGTGTTTAGGAAGAATAAAAGGATTACATGGCACCAGACAGTGCAGGGTATCTTATTATTTTTGCAGACTTATGCTACTTTGAAGTAATTGGAGTCCATAGAGAATGCATCTTTGTCTCTGCAGAGCTCTTTCATCATTCAATGAAATACATATCTTAAATGGATTTATTGGGCCTTGCAACTTCCCAGGAGCAGGATACAACATTGCTCCCTGCTACTGAATTTGCTGCAAAAGGTGCTGATTTTGCTTGAAAACAAGGTGCGTGAAAAAGTGTTTTCAAACAGAAGTACATTTTCAAGAGGCTTCTGGAACCATGCTTCTGTTTGAGCCTTCTTTTCATTCTCCCTGCATGCAAAACTTGCCACCAGCTTTGCTGCTCTGATTTTTTTTGGCAGCAAATGCAGCAGCAATCTGAGTTTACACAAACAGCTGGGGACAGGTCACATGCAGCTTGCAATGTGTTGCCCACCCCACAAAAGTCAGTAACAAGCCCAGGCAGGGATGCTTAATATTGCTGATACTTCAGAGCCTCCACTTGATGATTCTGTTCACATGCTCAAACACACAAGGAATGAGCTGAGGATCAAGCAGTCCTATTCATGATGCTTTTCTTTAGATACCTTTTATTAAAATAAACATTTTCTAATGGATCTCATTTGTCTGGGTCAATAGACATAGGAGAATGCATCTGTGAAAATGCAGGCTTTAAAAGGAAAACAGATTAGAGCCAGTTGTTTTAACTAACTGTAAGCAACTTCTATGGCTAAAGCCTTTTGGAACAGACTGTGTATGGCATCCCACTTTCTAGGAGTGAAGAGCATTCTTGTACAAAACAGTGGTGTTGACTGGCTTGTATTCAGGGTTTGTACCGCCGCACTTGCAAGAAAAGAGGTGCCAGAGGAATATTTCTGCTATGCATGAGCACCCCCCTTACATAGTCCATTGCTGACCACTGTGCAATAGTTACACACGGGAGCTGAAACAGTCTGTCATGCCTTCTTCCAGCATATCCTGTTCCATTCTCTTTCCTACTCAGTTTTCTGCTTTCCCCTCAACAGTCAGCCGGTGCTCCACAGTGGCAGAGTACAATTAGCAGTCATTTAAGCTTGTTTAGGTTTGTTTTTTTTCCCTTGGCTCCCCTGCAGATGTTTGTGTATTTTCACAAACCTCAAGGCTCTGCCAAGCCCCCTTGTGTGTGAGTGTTGCCATTTGGCTGCATACATATTGGCATGCATGCTTAGTTATCAGAAATAGGAGCACTGATTGCATTTTGCTATGGTTTTTGTAAAAAAAAAATGACAATCATCCTTATATGTAGCAGTTCAGTTCAAACCAACAGTGAAAACTAAGGCTAGAACCTGATACGTCAGGGCTGCCTATGGGTCACTCTTGTGTGGCCCCCACTGCCCCCATTATTCTCCTCCCCTGAAAAACTGGAGGGATGTGTGGTTTGCTGCCATGATTCAATGGTAAATCATTAGAGGGGTTTATTTAAGGACAACTTCAGCTTGTTTGCTGTGCATTTGAAATAACTCTGTGCATAATAAGAGCTTGCATACTTACACTGGATCAGGAGTTAGCCCAGTAACAACAGCAACTTACCTGCATAATCATTTATTATCTTGTTTTTATTCTTACATGCAGATATGCTACTTTATTTTATTTATTTCATATTGTGAGAAGAGCAAAGTAATAGCCATCAGTACTGAACTGGCCAATTCATGCTCCTGAGGTGCTTTTATCATTTGCCAGTCAAGGTGTTGTAAATTTGTGGATTTTCTTTGTAAGAAATGTATTAAGGTTGTAAGAGAACAAAGCCCAGTCTTGCCTAAACCCAGTTTGGGACTCAAGTTCTTCCCTCCTCCTGTATCTTGTTCCAATTTTCTTGTTCCTTCCTGGTTTAAGAACATTGCAGAGTCATTTTGAGGGATTCTGTATCTGTCAGTACTGACCATGTGAATGGTAGCGAGAACATTTGAGCTAGCCCAGCCACTTCACCATCTACTACTTACTTGACTGATGAGTATGTGTCAGCTTCCCACTCCAGCAACAGGAACCCTGGTTTTTCAGCATCCCCATTCCAGTGGAGAGAGCTCTATGTACATATATCCATCCTCATGGTATGAAAATTCATGATAACAAAGGGTTGTGGTGATTGTGCCTGTCAGCATCAAGGGGGTGGGGCAAGCCCAAACATTCCCACTGTCCCCTTCATGCACTCATGCCTACAGGTACTAAATGCCTAGGTTAAATTAGTTTGTCTAAATTAAGAAGTATCTTGTTTTTTAATGTTATTTAGGACTAAACTGTGGGTAGATTGGTTGATTTAGAATCCATGGTAAACTATGGTTTGTTCAAACAAGAAAAACAAGGAGAGAATTGGATAATTTTGGTGCAGGAAATGTATGCGCCTACAGCCTGCTGCCAAAAATGAAATAATGTCTTTGCTGGCACCTCTGAGCCAAACCAAACAGAATCCTTCCTTTGGAAGTTGCAACAGCTGTACATGAATGATACTTATGTTCTATAACTAGATTTATTAGAATCCTGATGATGGTTGAGATCAGCTTGTGTGGCAAAATATGCTCCCATTCTTTGCACTGCTTTCTTGAGAAAAGAAGGGCTCAAGAACATAGCTCTTGGCCATCCTGATCCACAACAGTTCTGTCTTTGGCAGCATGAATGCATGTATCATTTCTCAGATTCCTTGACTGATGGTCCTGGTGCTTCTGTGTATGCATATACAATGACTGACTCCTACTGATTTCTTCTGTTTTTCATTACAGGCCTAGCTGTTTCTCTGCAGCTGCTGCATGGAGACATTGAACAAATCAGGAGGGACTACACATCCATGTTTACTCATGGACTATCGATAACAAGGAAGCTGGGCTTTTCTAATATTATCATGCCAGGTTGGTAAAAGAAAGAAGATTTTTAAAAATCATTGCCCTACAGTGGGTATTAAAGTATGAAGCAGTAGAAAAGATGCTATCAGTTGAACTATAAAGTGGACAGGAAGCTAGTGTACATGTTCTGTGTATAAGAAGGCTTACGTGTTCCTTGTGTTAGCAAAAAGGTGGGCCAGAGTATTCTCTGGCAACTCAACCCTCTAAGAAATTGTCAAGAGGCAGCTCCAGCTGGAGGACATTGCAGCTCTTGTTTGCTGGGCTCATACAGTTGTAGATGGGGAAATCTCTGGGTCCCCCCACCCCCAAGATGCTCTTGATACTTTTTAGTTTAAATCTTTTCCATACTTCCACATTGTGTGAAAGGAAAAAAAATTGTGTGGCGGACCTAAAAAAGCAGGCATCCAAGAAGATCAGACTTAGACCTAGGCCAGGAATGACCAGGGTACAACCAACCCCCATTAGTCCTGGTCAGTGGTGAGAGATAAGAGTTGCAATTCAACAACATCTAGAGAGCCCTAGGGTGGCCAGCCCTGACTTAGACAGAAAGCAGTGGATTCTCAGATAAGATACAGAATGAAGAAAGCAGGCGAAAGAACACTGCTAGAATAACAGAAACAAAAAACATAGATTGGCAACATCAAAATGCCTTGATTTAGGAGTGTGGATAGCAGCTGGCCTGTGTAGAAAAGAGTGTATGGCAAGAAGTATGGGGAATTTTACCTCTGGGACTCAAATGTGGGTGGGGTAGTTATAAATCTTATAGTCCAGACATAGCAAATATTGGCAGGAGACTAGAAGTTCCTGCTGCTTATCTTTTGAGACTATTACATGTCTCATAGCTTTGAACAGCTAATAGGTCTTTTACAGTTTCCAGTCAAACAATTTTCACTTGAGCTCCCCCATTTTGTATGTTGCACAGGGTTCTCCCTATTTTTTGTTGTTTAGCTTCATGCTCATTGCAGATAGCCTGGCTGGAGAATTCTGGGAATTGTAGTCCAGGACATTAGGAGGGTGCCAGATTAGGGAAGGCTGTCTGACGTTAAGAGATTACTCTTTTGCCATGTCTTGATTCTGTCTAGAATACTATGGAGATGGTGCAGAACCCTTCTGGCAATATCAATTGGAAGTCTTGGCGTGAAGCTCAGAATGTTGTTCTGTCAATAAAATGTATTGACAGTAAATATCAATAGTAACAGGGCAGTGTTCATCCCATTTCCAAAGACGAAATTACCCTGAACCCCTCTGTGTACGCACTCCCATGTGTGTGTGAGGAATTATCAGAAAATGTCACTGCAATCCTATACCCACTTACCTGGCTGAGCCTGAGCCCCATGGAACTCAACAGGAGCTTTTCCTGTGTAAATATGTATAGGATTATCCAGTGAATCTCAGTGGGATTCCAGTATTAATTTTGCTGGCATCCCCAGTTTTTCTTAGTTTCGTTTTGCTCTGGCTGGTCATTGGAGAGAACATTATCTAGCTTATTGGGAACTGATGTAACTGATGCTAACGAGTAACATCTTTAACTGAACACCAGGCAGCCCCATTAGTTCTATCCTGATCTTTGCCAGCAGTGCATGATCTAGCAGCTCTCCGCTGTGCATTGTCATATTTCCCTCTGACTGCTATAAATAATTTTTCTTCATTTGACTTCCCATTGAGAGACAAAATGATGTGCTGCACCAGAAATGCACATTACAGTCTAGCGGTGTGCAGCCAACCACCGGTGGACTTCGGCTGTTAAAAGGGCTGTGCTGCTTTGGTTGTGATGGATTTTTCTTAAATATAGATTTCAACGTGGCATTTCATCAGCTAGGTAATTGGCCTCATGCTTTTGTTTGGATACTGCACAGCTTTTGTCCTGTATTCAGTACTGTAAATGAGATTTTTATTGAAAGGTGCCCTTCTTGCCTTAATAATAATGAATTTCATGTTGCTAATCGAAGCCAGACAATAAAGAAAATAAAAAGTGGAAGGATGCCCTTTTGTCCCTAGCCCCCACGGTTTAGCTGAGACCATGTTTCATAAATAACACAGTTTTAACTGGACTAAAATGCTACTTGCACAGGACACTGAAAACACATGTTTAATGCTACTGCTAGCTGGTAATGCTGAACTAGGGAAAGCAAATGCAATTATACCCCAGAACATGCACATGCACTTAAACAGAAACAAACCTCTGTTAGAAATTTGTGCATGATCACCAACAATGCAATGGTGTCTCACAACATATTTGGCTTAAAGAAACCCCTAACTTTTAAATCATTAGTTGAAAAAATAAGCAGTCAATTAAATGTTGGTGGCATTTGTTCTTAAACCCATACTTAGGATAAAACAATGGTACAATGGCCATGTATTCCAATTCAGCAGATTTAGCTCCTGGGACTTTCTCTTGCAGAGGTCCAATTGTGTACAGCTATATTCTTCGCATGGAATTGGTGTTACCAGTTGACTGGGAATTGTAATCTAACATCTGTAATCCATCTGGAAGACACCAACATGGGGAAGGCTGAAAGAAGCCCCTTTGATTTTGGCAGCACTGTTACATCAGAGTCTTAATGCACACTGGTCACTACCAATGCATGGTTATATGCACTTAAGGACCAGTACTTTCAAAGGTAGACTGTACTATAGATTGTTTCCCTTTGCAGTGTCCATTACGGCTCTAAAAATTACCCAGCAGATGTCTGTCTCTTCTTGGTGCACTTAGAACTATATAAGATAATCCACTTCCAAGCCTGCTCTGCTTCTCTAAAAATGTTGTGTCTGCTTTCACTGTGTATCTTAGACAAAGTCCAGCTTTGTCTAGCAGACTCAAATGTTTATTTTTGTGTCACAATTGCCCCTTTGAGGGATTTAGTAATTAAAAGTAACTAGAACTCATGTTCTGTAATACCACAGTGGATTCTGATATTAATACACATTTCTACCATATTATTCCTGGCACTGCACAAAAGTAATATGCTTCCAAAGCATCTAATTCAAAATTCCAAAGATGCAGAACTTGCAAGCAAGGAGGTCTGTATGGACCCTGCAGAGACCTGTCTCCTCATCTCTTTCTCCTTCATCTTGCCATGCATGGAAGCATCATACTAAGATATTATGGGAAAAGCTTTGTATGTGCTTTCCATACTTAATGTCAACATTACCCATCCATGCTGTTAAGCTACTTGAGATCCAAATCTTGAAGAGCCTGCTCTTCACTTACAGGTGGGATTAACCAGGTTATGATGTAGGATGCCCAGGCCCCTTTCTGTTACCACCCAACTGGCAGTAAACTGCCAGGTTGTTTACAATAATAAGCAGCATAACAACCAAGACAATAGAAACACAGTAAAAATACCAAAATGTTTAAAATGCTAAAGCATTAAGGAACCAGAAGTAAATAAATCTACCAATAGATTAAAGATTAAGTCCCCTTAACCTTGGAAGAAGGTCTTAACCTATCATAAAAATGTAAGGTAGGTAGATCATTCTGGGAAGGTCATTCCACAGATGGGAAGCAGATAAGGCTCTTTCCGGCTAGCCATTTGGTACACTGTTGTGGGCAGTGCCACCCCAACAGTGATGGCCAAGGTGAGGGAAAAGGACAGGAGACGACTCTGAGACTTATGGGGCAGCCTCTGCATGCCTGGAGAGAGAAGGGTTTATCCACTGGCATTTCAGATATTGGGTTGAGTCAGGAAATGAGTAGCAACACCTTGTTCATTTTACTCACATAGCATACAGAAAAAGGTACTCTCTCAAGAATAGGAATATGCATCAGTGGTTCAGATACACGTTTCATACAGTATAAAGATTTATAATTGCACAGCAGAGATATTCTATCCAGGAGATTTGAATCCTGCTGTAAAGATGTGAGCATATTTGCAGAATCAAATAACCCAGGAATTTAATTTCAAATAATCTCTTCAGATATGATTGATTTCCAGTCAATTCCCAGCTATTTTTAGACACCTCAAATTCCTTTCTTGAGCTTTCTATGCCATAGCAAGAGGGAACCAATGCCCTCTGCCCTGGTCTTCTAATAACAGCAGCAAATATTGTACATTCCTGCTTAGGAACCTGTGTATTAATCAACACAGTGTATTTCAGATGCTGGATGTTAGCACCATCTGCAGGAAAGCCTTTCCATCAAGAAAGAGCCCTAGAGGAATGTAGTCCAATGCAATGTTTGAGCCTTTCCAGCTTCTCTTTATTCTCACTAGTAGCACCCCAAATCAAAAAGGCAATTTGTGTAAGTGTTTCAGCTATTCAGTGTAAAGGACTTAGTATTTTGAGATCAGTTCAAATCTTGGAAGACAGGATTCTGCTTTTGAGATCTAAGAAGCTATGCTATTTTTGTTGTCTAGAATAAGTATAAGGTACCTAGTCAGGATCTACCCTGTCACTCCCTGTGGTAGGATTGTAATCTGTATTGGATCCCTGTGCCTAATTGAGAGTAAAAAAGGGGTGATTAGGAGGAGACATAGTAATAACTGTGTTAATATGTGCTATGAAGTTAATTATTTTATGTAAGTATTATTTTATTTCTGCTCTGCCCCTAGCTGAAGCTCTCTTGGCAGTGCACAACAATTTCTCGGAGTAAAATATGCTCTGGTAACCTCTTGTTTGGATTACTGCAATGCACTGTAGGTGGGACTGCTTTTGAAAAAGGTCCAGAAACTTCAACTGATCCAAAACAGTGCAGCAGGTCTGTTAATCTGGCTCACAAGGACATCTTATGTGAGTTTTCTTCCAGCTACACTGGCTGCCATTTGAAGTCCGGGCCTGATTCAGATTGCTAGTACTAATATTCAAATCCCTAAATAGATAGAGGCTTAGTGCCAGGTTATCTGAAGGATCATCTCCTCTCATATATCCTTATCCATTATTTGGGGTATTTTGGGGGGTCCTTCTCCAGGAGCCTCTTCCAAAGGAGAAGGGACTTCTCAGTTATGGCATCCTGGCTGTGGAATGAGTTCCCCAAAGAGGTGTGCCTGGCACCTACTTGGTATTCTTTT